ATAATATTTAATTCTATATTTTATTGTGATTTACTATACCTCCTAGAGCTTAACAATATTATATTTCTTTATCCAAATACAAATTGATCAATTAACATTTACATCTATAAATAATTTCAACATGCAAAAGAAAGGTAAATATTGTCCCTTGCGGGGATGACATTATATAACATATTCGCTTTTAAATATTTTGTATTTTCCAATATTTTATTTGTGTTGGAGATTGTCATTCTTTTGGTCCTAATACATTTGTTTCAAAAAAATTATCCTCTCATCCCTACTCCCCCCCCTCTCCAAATCCATGGCTCGCCTGCCCAGTCATTTTCAAAATTCAATGGTAGTTGCCTTTTGAATGTAACTTGTAACTCTAATTTATTACTTTACAACAATATTATGTTATCTGATGCCATATTTCGATTTTATTTATATTTCGAATATTTACTAATAATGGCGTCGCTAGGAGGTTTAGGGTAGAACTGTAAATTATCACTCTTTTTAATTTCTGCACTCTCAGTATTTTACTCCTCGAGTTAGTTTAAAAGTTAAGAGAGTTTTTTAAGCAATAATTGTGGGACACATATTAATTATATATATTTAGTTTATAATTATAAAGTTCTATCTATATATTTTTTTTCTCAAATTAATTATTATAAATTTTAAGGGTTTCTGGGTTGATTTGATACAAATCAAATCAATTTATTTTGGTATTTTTTTCAAATTATATGATGGGCAAGGCAAAAACCATTAAGCTTTCCAGGAAAAGGATATAGGATTCAGAGGTTTTTAAAAAAAATTGTATACTTAGTTTATAATAATATTTAGCTTAAGCCTCTATTACTTCTATACAAAAACCAAGCCTGTCTAGTTTAGGCACCGTTGGAATTTTTACCCATTAATTGCCTAATTTATCAAGACTTTTTAATTTTTTTATGCCATATCAGGAAATAAAATCCATTAAGATTTGGGATCTTTTAATTTTGAATTATTTACTGAGGGCAAATAAAAATCGGATTTGACCGAAAATGTATTCCAACATGTACAGAGCATCAACGATGCAGATTTCAGACTAATATGACTAGAACTTTTGAAGTATTTTTAATTTATATAAAATATTATATAGATTTTTCATATAAATTTTATAAAATACATAAATATTTATGGTAAAAGTTTCTAAAATTTATGAGATAGATTAGATATACTTACACTCGCTGGAATGCATTCCCGGTCAAATCCGAATAAAATTTAGAAATCTCCTTCAGTAAATGTTATATAATTTAGATGGAATCCGAAGGGATTAAAACTTTAATATTTGATAAGAATCACTAAATTTTTTATCATTTACTGAGGGAGATTTTTAAGTTTGAAAAATCTGATTTGACTGGAAATGCTTTCCAGCATGTACAGAACACTTATCCTATAAATTTCGTACAATTATAGTCATTGACTTTTGTGAATTTTTTAAAAATTTATATAAAAAATCTATATATATTAATACCAATTAAGAATACTTTCAAGGTTCTAAAAAATTATCTGAAATTACAAAGTGGATGCTATATACATGTTGGTATACATTTCCGGTCAAATCAGATTTTTCGAATTTAATCGCGCTCATGCTTTAAAAATTGAGTCATCCCGAATCCTAAATAATTCCATACCCTATTACGACATTATAAAATGCTTGTATACAAAGCATGAATAAATATATAGGCCTCTATAAAGTAGGAATTTGTTTTTTTATGGTATTCATTCACATATATTATAAAATTTTATCATATTTGTAAAAATATTCATGTCAAATAACAAAATTAATAAAGAAAACAAATATAACGAGTTTTCGTTAATTAAAAAATATAGGTTATTAAATTTCTAAATTCTCATACTCAAAGAGAATATGCTTTAAGGATTTCATATTTCTAAAGGAACATCTAAAGAAGATATCAAACGGCATGCAAATAATAATAATAATAAATTAATGAAATAAAATAAAATAAGATGTTATCTTCGATTGTTTATTTGGTTTTTTTTTGGAAATAATTATGTTTTCTTCTTTTTTTATTATTACAAATTTGCGACTTTGCCAATATCAGATATTCACCTTTTGTCTATATCGATTTACTAGGTGTATCGAGCCATATCACCGATATCTATATGTAGATGTTTAGGCCACTTTCAAACAGATCATTTTTAAAAAAATTGCTAAAAACGTGCTTAGGAAATCTTTTTGAATTACTGAAAAAAAACAAGCGCAAAAATTATTAATTACCATATTTAATTTAATCATTAGTTTTTTTTAAAAATTCTTTTAAAAATTAATTATTAGTATTAATAAGATGTAATATAATTAAAATGAAATAAAGTTTTAAAAAATTATGAGATTCTGGATTGAGACCCGACAAGCATTTACCGTATTTTGTAAGAGTTCTTCGATAAAAAAAAATGGGTTACGGGTTCGGTTTTTAAATCTTTTAAAAATAGGTAACCCTAATCCGGGTTCGGTAATTCAGGTACGGTTATTAGTAAATTATACAAAGTATCGATCGAATTGATGAGGTGTACAAATTTATTTTGTAAAAAATAGGAGTGCAAATAAAATTTCAATAGCTCCTATTATTTTATTATATCCAAAAAATTTGAAAAACGAATTAGAACAGTTGTATTTAATCTAAATGTATCAGGAGTAAAAACAAAAAAATAAGTTTAGACGTGATTTAATTTTTTTATATAAAACTTTTATCAAATCATATAACGACAAAAATTTCTGAACCCTGTCTTGTCCCGGGTTCATGGGACACGTGTTCAATTCCGAATTTATAAACCTAAATATGTTGACCATGTTCATATAAAGTTTCGAAAAAGGTTGCGAAAATGAGCCATGCGGGTTCGTATCCTGTTTGAGAAGTTTTTTCTTCAGATAACTTCCACAAAATCGGTTAAGGTGAGTACTGGAAAGGGAAATACGGATTAGAGGTCTGCAATAGGATTTTTAGCCCATCCGCCTACGCCCTACTTTGGGCATGCGTGGTCTGGTGTTGCGGACGGGTTGAAAAAATTTTAAATAATGGGCGGAAGTGGGCGGGTGAATTTTTTAATATTATTCAGGTGAAATGAGCAGAACAGGCTTCAATTTATTGAAAATAATAATTTTATTTCCATAATATTGCATATTATATATGTTTATTTAAAAATACAATATAATAAATAAATAAATAAATAGCCAAACCAGCCATTAAAATAATTTCTAAACATTGGGTAGACAGGTGGGTTAAACGAAATTTATATAAATGAACGGGCGGGTGGAGAAATTATTAAAAAAAAATTATAAGTGGGCGTGTCAAAAAAATTACAAAACAACGAGTGGGCGGGTTTTTAGCAGACCTCTAATAAGGATTAGGTTAGGGTTATATATTAAAACAATTGTCAATAAATAAAAAGGCTATGGCAGATACCGATACAATTTGGTATCACGAGTAACGGTTTCTGATATAAATTATTTTAAATTAATTTTGAAAAAATTTCAATTGGCAGAGAACCCCTCCGCTTTTGTTGTAACGTCCCTGGTGGCAGGGAAAATGGAAATTATGATAAATTAGTTTTTTTTTAAATAATTATCTATATTTTTTTTTAATTATTAATATAATTTATGCTAAGAAACCTTATAATGCAATAGATTATGAATTGTATATGAGCTAAATAAATTTTATTAATTTATACATCAATCTTATCTTTTACATATAAAAAAAATACTAATCCATAAAATATGTTTTTTTAAAAAATATTTCAAATTATTATAAGTATAATAGAAAGAAAGTGATGAAAAACTTTCAATTTTTTTTAAAAAAATAATAAAATTTTATTGTCAAAAAGATGAATTTATGATATTTCTATCATCGACTATTTGGTTGAAATTAGGTCATCAATATTAATAGTTGTAATAAATTATTTAAAGCGGAAAATAAATAATTAAAACAAATTTTAAGCCATGTTATGTGCAAAGAAGAAGAAAAAGGAATGAAAATGTCTGATTATATAATTTATTATTATTAAATATCAAAAACATGCTGAACCATCCTCCTAGAACCCAGTTTAAAACTAACTGAACAATTTTTTGAACAATTACAAACCCGGGTCGGGCCTTATTTTTTCTTTACAAAACCCGGGTTCGAGAACATTTAACGATTAATTAAAATTATTCGATTATTATCATTTGGAAAATGATGGAAAATCCTATAAATGGGATTTTAATATTCATTTATTACTTTTATTTTCAATTACTCTTTAAAATAATTTATAGCATACAGCCAAAATTAATAAAAATAACGAAATTTTAAAAAATTTCTGACCAGTCCTAATATTAAAAATACACATGACGGGCCAAAAATATTCAAAAATAATCGGGTTCAGGAATTTAAATGTTTGAAATCCGGGGCTAAAATTTAGATGCTGTTATAAAGGAAAAAATGAGGAGTAAAGAATAAAGTAAAATATTATATTTGATCACTCGCTGCTTCTCAAACCATTCGCTCTAACCTTTTGTAAAATTTTTATTTAAAAAAATTATAAATTGTTATGGTTATTCAATTATCATTCCCAAACTAAACAATGAAAAATCTTGTCTAATTAGGAAATTAATAGTGAATAGCGTTGATCAATTTGAAGTACACTTAATTTATGGTAACATTAAAGCCTTCGATAATAATACATTTGAAAGTGTCTATAGATTTAGATAAATCTTCATCCTTTCTTTCATACCTTTCCATTCATACATTCCCCTACATATCTATCTCCTCCTTTCTCTCTTTTTTTTTCCCTTCCTTTACTTCCTGTAATTCTATAATGCTTTTGAGACCGTAACAATTATGATTTGAATACCAATTACAAGTTTTAAAATTATGACAATCAATTTTAATACACCCAGACCATACACTACTAAGTTAAAGGTTATATCAATTTTTCCCATATTAGATGATTTTAATAAGATGGTAAGAAAAAGCTTCTATTACTATTAATTTGTTATAATTATCTCCAGAATTTGTTGGCTCGTTAACTGAACTTCCTTCTTTTAAAGCATCATCACTTGGTAGTGTTACCGGAGCGCTGTAATTTTCAGATGGAGCTTGAGCAAAATAGTTTTCGTATATGGCGTTGGGTTGTAATTTTTTTTGTAATTTGTACACCATTCCATTATTATCATCGATACTGCTCATATTACGATGAGATGATACTTGGGTAAGTGTCAATAGGAAGGCCAACAAGCAGCCAGTTATCAAACCCACAACAAATGAGATTATTATCAAGGGGTTATTTTTCTCGGATTTTTTCGCTAACATGTGATCGTTCATAATAATATCGGATATATGTTTGTCGTGTTTCCCAAAATGCGAATATTTGAATAATGAAGAGTCGTTTTCATTTGATTTGTAAAGTTCTTTTTCCTTCACCATTTTTTCCTTAACTTGGTCACGGACTTGAGTATCAAAATGGTCATAATTATTAGGTGTCATAATTCTTCTTTACATGTATTTTTTTAAAAAATAATACTTCTATTTTTAAAACAAAATATTTATAATTATAAATATATAAATATTTTAATATTAATAAAATATTTAAAATAGTATTAAAATGCTTATTTTTTTTAAACAAAAATTTTGATTAATGTGATTTTAAATTTACAAGTCAAAACCTCAAAATGGAAGAAGAATAACCTAAGAAGTCCAAAAAGTACAAGTTAAAAAAAAATTTGTCAAAATTTCGGGGAAAAAAATAATAATTTAAAAAAAAAAAAATATATAATAATTTCAATAAATTTTTTTTAGGCCTAATAGCTAAAATAAAATATATGTATAATTTGTAAAAATTTTATTAAGTATAATAAAAAAAATGTTATTTTAAAGAAATGTATATCGTTTAAAAACTTGTATATGACCCATATAAATTTCTCTTGTAAATTTCCCTTTCTTTTCATTTTTTTTTAAAAAAATTTGATCAATTTATGGTCATTTTAAAACGGCTCTTATAAATAGAGAAAAATAAAAAAAAAATTTTATAAGAGCCTTTTGACTAAATTGTGCTTATGATTCGATCGGTTAGGATAGATTGCGTCTCAATTTATGGCGTCAAATTATTGTAGAACATTTTTGTGTTCAGGTACAGAAACGAATGGAACTACGAAACTAGAAAATTCATTTTAATTTACTGAACCATAACCAGATAACTAAGAGAAATCGGGGCCTGTTAAATTACTTTTTTAAAAATTGTCTATAACTTCCATAAGTTTTTATATCTCAGGAAGGACTATATAATACATCAATAGATAACTACATTTATTATTGGGTAGTATTGCATCCTTTTTTTAAATTCCATTTTTTGTCAAGTGTTGATTTTGGCCAACAAGAATCAGCCGTGAAATCAGTCAAACCATCTTATGGGGTTAAAAAACGGTTCAATCTCCTTCTCTGTAAGGGATAAAGATGTCATTTTCTAATTTTTTGGATTAATATTTATGGAATAATTTTAATATTTTATTATTAAAATTATAACTATGCCAAGGAACTTTACACACCCTAAGTCAGTGACTATTTTACCCATTAGCCCCAATTAAATTTTATTGTCTCTCCTATAAAATCAAAATTAGAACAAAAATAAAATCTAATTCAAAATTACCCCCCCCCCCCCCCAATTTTATTGACAATATTGCGACATACTTCCCATACCCACCTCCTGTAGTAGATATCCACGTACTACAGAATAAAATTTACCAAAATTTATATAAAAATTAAATTATAATTTTGGTGCAAAATAATCAGACAAAATATAATAAATAAAAATTTTATAATGATACATAGATGATTCATAATATCATAGTTTGGCAAGCCTCACTAGCACTCTCTTTGCTAATCGTAAGTAATATAATGTCAGAGATACTATAACTATTCGTTAAACTCTCTAATTATAGAAGAAGGTTCAATTTTTGTTTAAAAATTTAAATAATGTAAATCATGATCTCGTCATGGAAAAATTTTACAAATTTGCTATCAAAATTTTATATCATAAATAAGTTTTTTAATATTTAAAATATTTTCAAAAATCTTTCATAGGGATTTATATGGGGGTTCATGGGAATATTTTTGAACCCGAGCTTGTGTTTAGGAATATTTGAATTGTATATAAAAAAATTTACAATGGTATTTATATCATAATTAAAATACTAGGCATTACTTTGGTATAAACTTTTTATTTTATTAATTAGCAAAATATATTATAAAATACAAAGCATATTTTAAAATACAAAGCATAGTAATTTATAAATTAAAAAATTTTATTGAGACGTATTATAAAGAGTTTTTAAAGATCTTTCGATGTTAACCTATATTAAATATATTTATATGAAAATATGATAAATTAATTTGGGTTGCAGGAAAGGCAAAAAATATTTTTCATAAAATATAAAAATCAGGGTGCTGCAGTTTAGCAGACTCCCAAAAATACAAAATATTTTTCTTCTTATCCAATCCTTTAAAATCACCATACAGTAATTATCATTCAATACTTTTATCTGAGTTTAAGTATTTTATCCTGCCTTTCTTTAAGCTTTATCAATATTCTAAATCATCTTGTACAATAACTTCACCCAAATTATTATCATCAGATGTGGATATGGGTTTAATCTGACTCTATAAATTAACAAGATGCCTTTTTGTTCAAATCTTAACAAGTAATACTATAATAATATTTATTATACGTTTAAAATTAAATAAATTAAAAAATCTCATTTAAATTATTAATATTTGTAATTATACACATATATTTAATTTTAAATATAAAATTCAGTTAACCTAATTGAACCCGGGTTTAGAAAATACCTCGGGTTCAGTTCGAGTTTTTAGAAAAAAAATGTTCAGATTTTGCTCAGATTCAATTTTTTTTAAAAAACCCCGGGTTTACTGCTCTGGGCTTGGGATCGGTTCGAACCTCTGGTTATGACTAGTAAGCTTGTATTTAATAATATCCCCATGTGTCACCTTTTATAAATTAAGGATTATAGCAGATAACATTTGTATACTTTAATTACATTTATTTGACATCCGTATGATCAATCATTTTAGTCTTTAGCCCTAAGTTTTTTTTATTAGAATATATGTTAGAAAAATATAAATGAATATTTTCTTAAGTACTTAAAAAAAAATCAGGCCAAATTCAGGCTAATGCTAAGAAGAAACGTGTTGATAAAAGAACAAGATATAGTTTATGAACATGGAAATAAAAATATAAAGCCTTATTTGGTTTTGTAACAGTTCTTTTACATTAGAAAGAAATTATTCCCCTCGAATTCATAGTTGGGCAAAGCTATGATGTTGCCTTAAACATGAGTGGAAGGATCATAGGACAAGCTTTGATTAGAGCTGAGATCTCAAAGGCAGCTATTTGGTGGTATTGTCACGATTAAATCTAATCATTGTTCAATTATGCATTAAAAACCTTTTAGAGATCTTAGACTAGATTGACTTGTATTTCAATGGTGTGAAAAGATATCCAATGCTCAAAGCATGTCAAAGTGATGTACTAACAAAATCGCAACGATTTTTACGCATCAAGAATACCACTCGATAGTATCTTATTGGTTTAGATTTAAAATGTTTATTTTACATTTATAAAGGCTAGCTATCATCATATAAAGCTATTGTAAAAATTTTTGTATTTTATAATATCTTGATGGCAGCTTTGAAAAATTTAAAGGATTCTGAAGATTTTGCCACTTCTACCATAGCGAGTTCTATTGTTTTTGGAATAGAAAATTTTTATTTTATTTTATCACTTTGTGTTTTAGATAAAATATTGTTGATAACAAGCCTGGCTTGTACAAAATTGCAAACCATTTCGAAGTATATAGCGTTTGCAATATATCAAATTCAATTGACAAAAGATTGCCTGATTAGTTTGAGAAGTATAATTTAAATTATTATCTTATATTATTTTTTAATCCTAATGGATAATAACACTGAATTTGTGAATGTTTTTTCAAAGGTACAAGGATGAAATGGAGAAATCTGCCTTTTGATTTTGTTTTCACGAAAGGGAATGGCGGATAAGACATTCGTTAATGATATTCTGTGAAATTTACCATTTAAATTCAGGTAATGTTTTTGAAAAAATGTCTAAAGATTTGTCAAATACGGAGAATCGTAAATTTATTTTATTAAAATATTTATATTAATATATTATTTATCTTCTTCTGATGATTTTGAGACTTATGATTCAAACTAGAATTCGTTTATTTTACTTTAAAAAATTTCTGCTTTCCCTAATTTATCAATTTTAAATATTTATTAACCATTCCTTCCTACCACTGCATGTACTGCCAAAGAATAATCACTTGTTTTTCAGAGGAGGGGTACTTTTAAGAGAGGGTATTCTGCTTAGTGATCTGCATCGGGTCTAATTTATCAAACCCGGCCCGAAATATTTTTTAAAAAATTTGCCGGCCAACCCTAGAGTTTTGCTGGCCCTGCCCGAATTTATTTGAATATAGGAATTAATTTTTATAATTAATCAAAATAAATGATATATGGCGTGTAGTTTCAATAAATATAATCAAATATTTTTATTTTTCATTTAAAAATTTGACATAAAATTTATAAATTTAGATATATTAAAAAATTTCCAAAGTCCGACCCAACGAATTTTAAAAAAATATTAGGTCCTGCTGAGCTCGAACCCGATTTTTTTAAAAAAAATAGGTCCGGCCCAGTCCAAAGCCCGTTCAGGCTGGGCTAACTTTTGGAGATCTCTAATTCTGCTTCCATCGCTCAGAAAATGTAGGGGCCATTGTTACCTTTTTGTATTTTACCTCAGACTCAAGATTTTAATTTGAGTATCAAAGGAACTCGATATAAAAATAAGAATAAAACAAAATGAGATCAAATGAATCTGACATCTTCTCAACCCTATTCTTTTCAAAAAAAAGAAAAATTAAGATCCAGGATATAAACTTTTGTTAATAAAAATTGTTTTTGGATTTAAATTGCAATGAGGTTAATAAAAAAATGCTAGAAATTGTAATTTTGGAATTCCGCTATAACTCTAAATTGCAGATTAAGTTTTTTTATGGTCTCATTTAAATTTGTGTTATTTATTAATAATAAAATTATTTTATTTATTTATCTTATGTTAAGTAAAAAAAATATTTTTTCCTTCGAAAGATAGACCAATAGCAAAAGGATCTAAATTATGGTCCTCTTTTTTTAAAGGATCGACATTCCTAAAAATATAATTGACGTGAGATTGTCTATAATTTAGCTCAGTACATAGGTCAATTATATTTTTTAAATAAAGAAAACTATCATGTCTTTTGTTACTTAAATAAATTTTATGTCATTTTTACACAAATTTTCAGCTTATACCCTAAGTACTTGTTTAAAAAGAGGATATGCAGTCCCATAAAAAGCTTTATATACAGTACAGGGAATTCATTCAATGTATTCATTTGATTAAATATTTTTGCTTAGTTACATTATTAAAAGAAAGGTATAGTTTAAAATACTTTAAATGCTGTAGTTTGGAAGGCATTTTATTTAAAACTTCCTATAAGATATTGATATAATCTTAATATGTACAGATTATTTAATAAGGAACAATAAATATATATTATGAATTATCATTAATCCACAGGCGATATAAATCAATTACATGATTTCCAGGTAAATTAGAACCTGCTATATTATTGTATAGTGATTCATCTAACTCTATCCTTTCATACAAAAATCCCCAATATTCAAAATAATGGGCAAGTTGGCGTGAAACACCATTATAAAAATAACCAAAATTCTCTGAATCTCTACGTTGGTATGTTATAAATATTTGCACATTTTTATTACCTAATGCTAAATTTTTTAATGTATACATGATATCAGTATAATTGTCCCCATCATAAAAGATATCTGAGGCTAATATTACATCAAATTTGTGGTTCTCTTCTTTTGCACTTGTCTCATCATTTGTATTTTTATCATTTAATTTTAGGAATATATCTCCCCAAATTAAAGGCATTAAATATAAAGATTTTCTAAGAAAATTATGTGACAATTTAATAAAATCAGAGAAAGTATTACAATAATATGGAGTAATATTGTTTGCATCTAAGTTATATAATGCATTTTTTTGAAATATATTTGCATTTATTTTTATATCCTGAAGATCAGAATATTTCTCTGTAATTCCCTTTGATATGCCATCTTTCAAGTAATTTGAGAAAAATTTAAAACTTTTATAAAAATAACACAAATTTTTTAAATCATTTTGATTATGCAACTTAAAACAGCTATCTGTAGACAATATAATATTAGCTCCAAGTTTATAAGATAATATTGATGGCAAAATTGTAGTTCCACAACCTAATTCTAAAATATTTTTATTCTTTACCACATCATTTAAAACTATATATTGCGATAAAACTGGAGAACAAGGCCATATATGTGATGAATAATATATTGATTTATCTCCATCAGCTTTATTTTTATTGTTTTCATTTGTACAATCATTAAGATTGTATACAATTTCTCGAACCACTATATTTATTTCCATTTGGAGTCTATTATAAAATAGGGGATGGCATATATGTCAATCATATGTGAGATGTACATATATTTATGGATAGGCTGCTTTTATATTAAATCAACCAGATCGATTCTAAACTCGACCCCCTGATTTTAAAAAATTTTATATTTATATTACTAAGTAAAAATGTAAAGTTTTACTTTTCAAATCGGTTACTTTTTGAAATATGTCCATCCTTATATAAGCCAAAATTTGAAAATACACTCAAATTTTAAATGTCTCAATAATAATTATAATAAATACTAATTTAAATTTAATTATATAGCTCTAGAATAGCCTTTTAATACGATATATAATTTATTTTATTGAAAATAAGTCTATTACCAAAATCCGGAAATAGCTTAAAAATTTTTTTTCCTTTTAAATTTCTTTCGCAGATAGATATTATACTCTCTAATATTTGTATAAAATCCTAAGATCTGACGAATAGAGCCATGAGCTATTGCACGTTAAAATTAATTGTATGGTTTATCTAATATAATAATTTATTTTTATAAAATGAAAACTATAATTATATGAAAACTAAAATCCTAAAAAAAACTCCTATTATTTGACATTTCTTTGAATATTAAAAAACAAAAAAAATGTTACCAAATTGTACTATGTTATTATAAAAACACAAGGCTCCTTAATTTGGAAGCATTATAAGAAATCTAAAACACAATTAATATGTTATGATCTCGACGGGTTATTTCGTGGATAATACAAGTTAATTCTAGTATATCAATTAATCAAAAAATTTGCAGTTCTTGACGCAAAGGTTTCAATAGTTTTATACTTTTCTAAGCGAGAGGTTACTCAGTATAAAACAAAACACTTTAACCTATAAAGCTGTGAGGATAAATTTGGTATCAAAGCTGAATATTATTTTTTCAACTGCACATGGCAAATTGCGATAGTTTAGGGGTATTACTAAGTAGTTACCTGCTAGAGAAAGTCAGCAACGTCTTTATGATAATCATATACTGACATTTATCAATTTATTTAATTGCGGGAGAATTAATGTCCCGGAGATTCATTAATATATTCGTTAGAAAAGTTGAATATATAAGCAAGAAAACCAATTTCAAGAATAGATTTTTAACAGCTAATAGAATTCCCAGAACACAAATATTTCATGCAATCATTTTCATGAAAGAAAAATGAAAATCAAATTTTATTCAAATTATAATTAACATGTTTATTATAACATTAATTTGCCATACATGCATTATAAATAATTAGCTAAATAATTCTAAATATTTTTATAATTATATTTTTTCTAAAATAGCTAAACTTATATGTTAAATACGACATAGTGTCCACTGTTGATCTGCATTGAAACGTATTTTTTAGACCAAGTCTGAAAATTTTTTAAAAAATTTGAGTCCTATCCTAGACAAATTTTTTTATATTTGTCCCGAAAAGCCTAACCCGATATAAAAATTATTTGTCCCCAATCCGAATTTATCAAGATATAGAAATTCATTTTTATAGAATTTTGCATTACACTGATCAAAATCAAGTTTATGATCATTCTACAAACAATTAAAAATTTAAGTTACTCTAATATAAAAAAATACCAAAAAAAAATAAAAGTTAATTTTAGGTTACGGAATTATAAAAAATCAAAATCCTCCTTTCAAAGATAATCGTAATTGAGTTTCTCTTAGCCGTCAACGGTAACGATTATGGAATACTTGTTTCTTATGTGTGTCTCTAGGGGTTATCATTATTATGTGTCATACATGTTCAGTAATCTTCAACGCGTTTTAGAAATCGTTTTGTTTTAGCAGGTCTAGAGTTCCCTGAGTTATATTGTTTATCTTTTTTTACAGATGAATAATTTGGAAATTAAGCAAAGTTCACCCAGCACAATAAGAATCAGATTGATATATGCTCAAATTTTGAGTCAAGTTTCCAAATGTTGTGATATAATCATTTCTAGACGAACTTTGTTTCAGGCAGGTGATATCTCAGGAAGATTATATTTTCAAACTTATTTTGCAGATTTCATGCACAAGTCCAATTAAATAATTCATTTTTAAATGATAGGAGGTATGGGTGATTTTTGATTTGATTGAGGATATAAAGTAAGTAATTATAGTTACATTTGGTTGATTATCATTTTCTGATGTAATTTTTGACATATTAAGGATGGAATTATTTATGAATTTTGTCAGATTATAATTTTTATTTTCCTTTCCTTGTATTTTCCTTGTATTTTTGAATAGAACTCATTTTGCTAGTTTTGGTTTTGATTGTGATAGGGTACTGGTTTTTATAACAGGTTTATTCTTTAATTTTTATTGTACATACTTTTAGAAAATTAAAAGAGAGGATAGGTTTATTTGACATTTAGCCTCTGAGTTTGCAGAATGGAAAAATAACCGCAAACTTGTAAAGCACATATTGCTGGTATTATTTACTTAAAATTCTTAGTTTTTGTTTTCCATGCCTATATTTAAACGTAAAACAGTATTCCAAAAAATGTTTTTAAAATTTTGTGAACTGATTTCACCATCTGCCGACTCATTCATAGCATAAAAATTAATATTACTTTCGAAAAATGCTTCTAAGATCTGCCATTAGTTATTTTAAAATATTTAGCAATAAAACGTTGATTTTTATATTGCTACATTCAAGTTTTAGGGTTTAATAAGACTGATATAGGGTAGAGTTAACCTATATTAGATGAGCCAGATTTAGATTAATAGACAAGCTAACATTTTCATAAAGATATTAAGGCTTGTCACCAGGGTTGCCATGTCTCCCCCCATTAGCGGGAGACTCCCGCAATTTTTTGGTTTACACGCAGACATCTCTCTCCCGCAAAACTACCGCAATTGGAAATCTCCAGCAAAAATCTACCGCAATTTTTTAATTTCTCCAGCAATTTTTTAAAAAGTATTTTAACGTTTTTAATATATAAATAATAATTTTGAGAGACAGTAATTCATTATTTTTATATTTTTAAAATAAATTTTAAATATTTAGAAAAACATGTCTAATTTATAAATTTCTTTTTATCCTGTTTTATTTTTATCCAATAATAAATCATCATCATTTCATTCATATAAGTCAGTACAGAGGAATATATCGTATATCAACATCGATTGCAATACAAAACTATTCTCCAAAAATAATAAATAATACAGATGCAACTACAGCTGCGGAAATCGTATAAACCTATCATGTAGTTCAACATTCACAGAGCTACATCATCACAATGTTCGTCGAATCTTTTTCCCATGGATATTTAATGACTCCAATATAAGTGCAAACCTTATTTGGTTTTAGTATCTGAATCCTAGAGGTCAATTCTAGATGATTTGAAAGATGGGCATCTATATGCAATTCTAACAGATGCATCTAATAAGGGAAATATTAAAACATTTCTTTTGATCCTTCGCTATTTCAACTAGAATAAGAAAATTTCAATAAAACTGTTAAAATTTATTCCTCGGATAGTGAAAAATCCAACTATGTAGCTTAGCCCACATAATGTAAATATAGCTGATTCAGGGTTATCAATGAATTGCATGTCAGCTATCTGCGCTGATAATGCCTCCGTAAATTTTGGCAAAAACCAAAGTATATTTATCTAATTGAGGCAGCGTCATAATGACTAAATACCAATTGGCTGTATATGCCATATACAACATGATTCTTGCAAGAAGACAATAAATATACTATCTATGGTGTCGAAATAATTGTGATAAAATGTTTTAACGAATTTAGTTCATCAACTAAAAGAGATAATGAATTAAAAGAGTTGGTGGAGTGGTCTGACTTGTAATGGTGTGAGTTGTTGCGATATATACTTATCAGGTGGTTATCATTAATACCTGCCATCGATAGAATTTTAAAATTTTACAAACCCTTAAAAAAATACTTTTTAAGTAAGATTTTAAAAGCTGTCCAAAAATTTTGAAAAATTTATTGGATTAGAAAATGGCAGAAGCATATTTGTAGTTTCACATGTAGGAAATCTACTTCATGCAGTTAATATTCAGAATATTCTTTATTAATAAAGATTTACAAAATCATGCTATAGCTCTGTTCATCTCTACATAAAAGTTGATAATAAATTTTATAGCGCTATTGCTAAAAATATCATATTAAAATGTTCAAATATTACTCTAATTAATTTTTAAATGAAGCAAATATTTTTATTAAGACAATTTCAGAATATTTGCAATCAAAATTTGATTTTAATAACTCTATTTACAAATGTAATGTATAAATATGACCTTGGAGAAACCATCAATTGATAGTTTTTGTAATTTGGTAAATATATTAAAAATACTGAAAAACATTGGTCTTGTTTGAGGAGATTGTAATTCTCTCTATTTTTTATGAAAAGTTAGATGGACTAAAAGTAGAGAAATGGGTTGAATTTTTTCGTAATAACAATAAATCCCCATGCATGGAAAAAATATGCGAGTATGTCTTCACCTTACCTCATTCTAATGCCTCATCCAAGCGCATTTTTAGCCTGATGAGGACTGCCTCGAAAAAGGAGAGAAATCGGATTGCTTTAACAACATTAGAGGCCGACTTTGTAGACTTCTTATAATTTTATTTCTATAATATACTCTCTATAACCAAAATTTACATAAAAAAATTCCTCTTATAAAAAAAATCCTCTTTTTTAGGCGAAAAAAATTAACTAAAAAACATTTTTTTCTTTTTCAAATAAAAATAAATTACAACCTTCACATTATCTCTTTTTCATAATAAAAATACAATATATCTTTGATATCATTTCTTTTTCATATAAAAATACAATATATCTTTGACATCATTTCTTTTTCATATAAAAATACAATATATCCTTGACATTATTGTAATAATAATTTAAATATAATACTACAACAGTCGAGCTAATTGTTAAACAAATTTATAATATGTCATGCCAGGAATTTATAAATATCTCAATAACGACGGTAAACGTTTAGTTCCATTATTTAAATCTCAAATAAAATATAATTTACATTATAACTATTTAATTTTCAATATTTTTTTTATATTTTATAAAATCTTATTTATACAGTCGCATAAAATAAATATATTTTTTACATTGTAAATCAAAAATAGAGAGCATTACAATCTCCTCAAACAAGACATCAATGTCTATCGATATTTTTAAAATATTTAAACATTTTAATATAGTTTTATCAATGGCGCCATAAAATTTATTGTCAAATTTTAACTGTAAAGATGAATTCATCTGCTGCATAATTTTGTGAATCTTTGTTAAGATTCTTCTGATTGCAACTGCACATTAACAGCATGTAGTAGATTTCCTACATGTGAAATCAATCCTAAATATACCTCTGCCTATTATTGAAAAAAATTTTCAAAATGTTAGGACAACTTTTATAATCTTTATTTAAGAAATATATTTTTTAAGGTTTATAAAATTTTAAAATTCTATCGATGGCAGGTATTAGGAACATATCGCAACCAACATTGTGCTGACTCAATTCTGTAAATACATTTTGTTTCTACCAAATTCACTGAGGCATTATTAGATCAGAAAGTTGACATGCAATTTATTGATAATCTCGAATCTGCTATATTTACCATTATATGGTTAGCGATGTCTTTATATTTTTCACTATTTGAGGGGAAAAAATTTAATAATTTTATTGAAACGACCTTAATTTTGTTGAAATTGCGGAACTCTAGAGTTCGATATTTATTTATCTATAAAGTTTCTCAGAGAGGAGAATCGAAAAATCTTGAAGACCATAAACTAAAATTAATATAAGTCCCTCCCTATAATTTTAGACCACTTGACACCTCTGTATCTGCAATAAATTGTTTAACAGTTTGGAGGAAGTTGCAGGAATGTCTTGTAAGTTTAGATTTCTAATTACATTAGATAGATTTCTTCCTAACATCTTTTTCATAACACAAAACCATTAAAAATATTAGCATAATAGTAGAATATTTATATCACATATTATATAGGGTTGGTTCAGGGGTGTACATAGTGGGTGGGGCAGGAGACAAATATCTCATCCCCCATGCCAAAATATTCAGATGGCAGCTTATTTTTCAATTTAATCATTCCTACCTTCAATTACATATATATTCCAGTTTACATATATTTATAAAATTCACAGCAGAATAAATACACTAAATTGATATCGATTTCAAATTTCCCTTGGCTTTATATTTAACTATTATTTTAAAATTTCTCTTCAAATCATTCAAAACATTTTCATTACAAAACTAAAGTAAAATAAAAAATGACATCCATTTGATCGAGACTATGAGAATAGCTGAAAACTTTATATTCGAAAATAAGAAAATTAGACGAATTTTATAAATTATTTGTCATTGTAGAGCCAAAAGCAGAATCTTTTACAGATAATAATTTTATTTATAAATAAATTTATCTAAATTAGACAATTTTAAAATTCATATTTTCAGGTTTTATTAAAATCATTTCCGATACTTTATCACTTTCAAACTATTTTACGTATTCTCCCTTGATAAGTTAAACTTGACACACTATATTAATTCATATGCATATAATCATAATTAAATCAGCAGAGATGACTTCTAACATACTAGACATATTAAATCGTATAGCGGTGAAGATGGATTAACTATTAATTTAAAAAAAACAGTTATTATTCTATCTCCTTAGGCTGTTGTTGACTCAAAATAACCCCCTATCCACGTTAGGAATTAAAAACAAGGAAAACCATACTTGAGAAATGAGAACTACTACCTCTGAAGAATGGGTTAGCCCTTCTTAATATAAATAGGAAGATTGCACCAAGTACTGATAAAATCATAGAAAAATTATCTCATTCCTAAATAAGATTGAATTTCGCATTATAAATTTATAATATACTTAATGATATCTTCCCCATTTTTATACACCATATTTTTTTCAGAATACTTTGTAAGTTTTTATACATGCAATAATCCTTTAGAATATTATTGTATCTATATTTCCAAATTTATTATTTTTAAAATTTAATTAAAATTAATATATCAAATCTTAAAAATTTATATTGTTTTTACAAGGTTCTTCTTCGAGATTTATTATGGAGATTCAGATATATATATTTAATTTTATAATTAATTATATTTGAATTTGTTAGGTGTATTAGAAATTGGCAAAATTTATAATCACTAGTACTAATAAATTTCTGAAACTTAAGATAATCTTAATTAACTCCTGAAATAATTATAAAAAAAATTAATTATCCCCATACCGAATTTCTGCTTACGCGCTTGATAATAGGCTGTCTCAGCTACATACGTTTCGGATGAAAGATTATTTTCAGGATGGAAATATATTATATCACCACAGATTGGACTAAGATATTTTAGATGATATTTCAATTATAAGCATGATATGCAAATAAAAATTAACAATAACATTATAGGTTGATTTAAAACTGTGTTTTATTCATCTATATTTATCTTAAAATAATATTATTTATAGTTATATATAGTTACCTTACATTAATACATAAAATAATGATTTTAAAATTTAATTATCCGTAACTAACCTGAATCGAACCTATAGCTTTGTGATATTTTCTCCCAACTAAACTGAATCATTATCAAAATGGTTGACAATCTGTTTGGATGTATAAATATTCAATATCATCAATTCGACAGTAGCAAGACTTTTTTTTTATAAAGGTATAATAATCATTTCACATTAATTGCAATTTGCGAGATATAAATGTAAATAATAATATAATTATAATGAAATGTTTTAAGCTGGAACGCAAAGACACTTTACATTATCAGGCCAATCGCACACTTGCAAATTTTGGTTAAATAGTGTGCCCTGTCCACAATTCATGATGGGTTTGTTAGAAACTCTGCAATCTACGAATCTTCTATCAAAATTAAAGAATAAAGAGTATTTTAGTTAGTTCGTATAATATTTTCAACTCAAATAGTTGTATAGGATAGGCTAAATTTGTATAATATATATCAGAATAGAGGGTTGGTGCGGGTAAAAGTTCTGTTAAAGTTCAATTTTTCGGATCGACCTACAATATCTTTTCTCCGGCCTTACCCGTAAAACATTGTACAGGCTGTACTGCCCAGCACATTCTGAAATCTTTTTATCTATTTGGCGTCGAATCGCGCCAACTTCTATATTAAATTAGTCGCTTGCTAATTAGACTATACATTTTTTTTTGTAATTTTAAAGGAGTGAAATTTTGGAAAATAAAATTATTATAGATATATAATATTAAAAACAAATAAAGTTGACGATTTACTCGCATCCAGGATAAGATATTCTTCTATGGCTATTTCCGTCGCATAAGGCGTAGGTGTCCCATGTGCATGGTTGGCGTCTGTGGCGGGATTTCTATTTTAAAAGAAAATAATATTATGTGAACTTTCTTTTGAGTTAGTGTATTCCCTTGTTAATTATTCCCAATTAAAATTTTTTAATCCCCGCTCCATATTCAATGTATATGGGGAATTGGGAAGATATTTAATATTTATTTAATTAAATTATCTAGCGAAAAATAGGTGAAGATTTAGAATAACTCTTTTCCCCAAAACGCATAAAAAAAATGCTTTAGAAATGAGTCAGAATTCTGAAAAATTTATCAATCTGAGCCTATTCTCTAATATGATAAAGTATCTTTATATCTTTAGTCCGTGTACTTTTTACCTTAATTGCTATCCTTTTAAAATTTAGCATAATTAATGTCTATAGTAAAATATTGCTATCAAAAACTATTTATTTCCTTTAAATCTATTCTTCCTTAAATAAACAACACTCTCCTTTATAGGAAGAGACAAGATGAGAATGTCCTTATATCAAATTATCGTAAATATAGTTTCAATAAAAAAAATATATTAATATTCTTACAGTTCCCCTGCACCCCCCCCCCTCCACAAAAATGAATGCTTCAAAAAAAAATTAAATGACTTTAATTTGAAATTTTTTAGAAGATGAAAAAAGGTAAATGCAATTTCATAAAAATGTAACTTAACAAAAGGATTTAAAAACAGACTAAAATTTATCCAATAATATTTATAGGTAAAAGGTACTAATCCCCACCCCCTCCCCAAGGAAAATCTTCAATGCGGCTATCCTCCCATTTTTATAGAATAATAACAAATGTCATAAAACACCTAATATTACAAAGAAAAATTTCTTATTAAATTATTTACGAGTTTCATTTGGTTATTTAAAAAAAAAATCATAATATAAGAAACTTTCGGCTAGTAAACAATCATATTAACGAAAGAATATTATAGTTTTATTCAGCAGTAATATATATGCAAGGAGTAAAATTTGTATCATGAAACTTACCTTATAAGAGTACCAGTCTAATTTTCCATCTAAAATATATAATATGTAGGTAATAAAATTTAAAGATATTTATAATATTATATCAGTGATCTAAACCGTAACTAATATCGGTTCGGTTCAGGTTTAAATTCAGATAAAAATAACTGTTCGTTCATGAAAATAATAATTATTGATTTTCAGTCAAACCCTAAAAAGAATGGAAATATCAAAAGGTTCAATTTTTCAATTCTGGTTTGGTTTAGAATAAGTAAATGGTAAGTGTTATCATCGGTAAAGGTTAAATTAGGGATTTTAAATCCCTGATTATAATATACAACAATAACAATGTAAAGTGTTTTGTGTAAAATTTCGAAAAACGAAATATTTTTTATAAACCTTAAGATTGATAATTGCTGTATATTTTTATTTACGATTGACAATATCACCAATTTATCTGTCCAAAACTTATAAAATAGTATGTTATGCAAACCTCATACCGATACAATATCGATCTTGAGTTGTGTCCGTTTCCTCTATTTGGGGAAAATCAAAAGACCACACTTAAGTTTTCTGCCAACCATTTTAAAGAACGCTTAATTTAAAAAGAATATATACTACTTACAATTATCATTCTTCCTAATCAATCCATAAACAACCTGTAATAGTACAAACGCTAATACAATGATCGGATAGTATTTGATAAACATAATATTTTTTAAATCGAAAATAATTTTAAAGAAATTATATAAAAAATTTTTTATTTATATATTTGATAAAGATAAACAGCAGGCAGAACACTTTTGCATGAACAATGGAAGGAATAAATTTAAAAGAACACAAAGGATGGGATGTCTAATTATAATTAGACACTATACTATATAAAATAAATTGGATTCATAATTGTTGAGATAATATTTTATACTTAATTTGAATTAGAGCCACAAATTTTGGCATAAACTTAAATAGACAATATATATAGCTACTATGACACTACTTTTAAACAATGCTCATTTTTTCTAAAGAAGGTCCCATGATTTTATAAGACATTTTGGATTGAAATTTACGAAAATAAATTGGGAAAATTAGAGTTTAAAATGAATGCATAAGTTAATCAAAATTTTTTATTTTTCTTTTTCTTTATAAAAAAAAATCCCGAATATATTTTTAACAATTATACTGTGTTGATTACACATTTTTTTTAAAGATTAAAAATATTTGGATGTTTAGCATGATGTTTTCCTAGAATTAGTTAATTTGAAGGCTTTGTAGGTTCGTTTTAATTGTTGGAATGGGCTTTGCCTACCTTAAACATTAAACTAACAATTCTAATGCTTCTTTTTCATAAAGAAATTCAACCGTTTGAGGTAGTATTCAAATGTAGAAAAGAAATTGATTGAAGATATCGACAATCAGAAAATTGGTAAGAGCATATCTTAACCTAAGATTGATTAAATATATTAAAGATGATAATATTGAATAGAGCTAAACATTAATAGAATTTAGAAAAATATAATTTAGTACACATAGAATTTTTTTTTCTTAGATATAAAATAAAGCTAATATTGTCTTAAAAACATTCTATTGAATTTTACCATATTTGACCGGTCAAATATAGATCAATTGACCGGTCAAAGATAGATTAATTGACCGTATAGATCAATTAACCATCCATTTGACCGTTCAAATGTACAACCCCGGTCTTATCTCTCATCTATAAAATTAAAAAAAGTGCAGCTCTCAGGAGTTGTGATTAATTTTTTGAAGTGTGCCATGTTCTCCATTTTGCCCCATACCCATAATAAATACAATACCGGAATGTACAAAATTATATCCAAAAATAGTTTATTTTGAATGTGCCCATTTTATGCACTGCACATTCTACATTTCAATTAATCTCCCTATTTCCGACAATTTATAAATTTTATTACAAATAACATATAATCTATTTATTAATGGTCCGAGTTGCAATATCTTATTATATGGTGTAGATTAGGCCTATTCAAAAACGGATTCGAATCGAATAGTGCATTATTCATATTCTATTCGTTTAAACGAGAATAATTTACTATTCGTATTCGTACGAATAATAAAATATACCATTTGTATTCGATTAGAATTATTCGAATAATTGAAGTTAATTTTCTTAATAAAATATATCATACCAAATTTTTTTAGCAAATTTGATTTCAAACAGAAAAATGATTATAATAATTAATAACAAATATGTAATCAATAATCTGATGATAAAAAATATGTAATCAAGTTATAAACAAAATTAAAATTTATATTATTAATTTATTTCACAATTCTAATCCAATTTTTAAGACAGAGAGTTTTTCTTATATTTTCTTCCTTATATGACATGCGATTTTTTGACAACAAATTAGTTCCAACTAAGAAAAGTCGTTCACAAACAGTTGATGTTCCATTTTAGTAGGTATTCCCTAGGTGCGAATGAAACCTATTATAATGACTGAGAGGGGGTGTTGTTTTGCCTTAACATTTTATAATGCTCTTGAAATGATTGAAGCAGTCTTTTCATCGATTTTTAATATAATTTATTATGAGATTATAAAAATACAGCAAATAGAAATTAAATATTTCTTTAATTTTCACTTCAAAGATTTTAAATTAGTGCTAGTTTTTTTATAAACACATTACCTGTCAGATTGGAAGGTCATCAAATAGAAATGACAAATGTTAGATTTATTAAAAACAATTTATTAAATATTCCGAATAATTCGTTTCATTCGATTATTCGAATCGAATAAATATATTCGTATTCGGATAAAACAAATAATAGCTATAAATTTGGGATGAATTTTATTTAATAGCTATAGCTTTAAGGAACATAGAAAGTTTTCCAAAAAGCGAATATAAGAAATTAGGTATAAAAATATATTTTCACCCAAAATTTAAAGTCTACATACTCAAGGGTTGATAGGTTAATCCCGTTAACATTCCTACCCCGTGAATGGCTTTATCTCGCTCTGCCTTTAGTTTGCTATATGAGTTTTTATTTTAGTATACTATTCAATAATTTATAGACCAATTATGAAAACCATAAAATGTAAGTGAAAATAAGACTTATGATATTTTAATAGCAGTTTACAATGTAAACAAATAAAGGAATCATTGTAAATGATATTTTATATCTTCTATCGTTGATTTTAAAGAATGAACTATTCAAGAAATGAATTATTCAAAATAATATTAGTTCGATTTTTAAACACGATAGATAAAAATTTTAGCCAAAATAATATTAAGTAAGATGCGAGATATGTCAAAAAGGGGTTCAAATCTTTCTGTCATTTTAATTTTGCCTAAAATTTAATCGTGTGGTTTTAATCATCAACATATATCGAAATAAAGCATTTTGGAAAATAAAAGATATTGGAACTTATAATAGGCATTAACACAATTTCAAATAATATCGATAATAATAATAAAACTTTATTTATCATGCATTATAACATGCTATAATATAAATAAAATTTAGGATAATATAAATATAATCGGAATCTGAGTAGTGGATGCACTGAGTGGCAAAGACAGTCTCTATAATCATTATCGCGTGTAGGGCGTTCAATTGTATATCAAGGTTTCACCTTTTTTGATGCATTGTACAAAAAAAATAGTATAAGAAAAGAGAAATTAAAATAATCATTAATTAAATTAGCAAAGTGAAGAAATAAAAGAAAAAATCCTAAAATAAGAATCCAAAAATGATAAAAGTAGCAAAGTGAAGGAACAAAAGAAAAAATACTAAAATAAGAATATAAAAATGATAAAAGTAGCAAAGTGAAGAAATAAAAGAAAAAATTCTAAAATAAGAATCCAAAAATGATAAAAGAAGCAAAAAGAAACAAAAGAAAAAATCCTAAAATAAGAATCCAAAAATGATAAAAGTAGCAAAGTGATGAAACAAAAGAAAAAACCCTAAAATATGAATCCAAAAATGATAAAAGTAGCAAAGTGAAGAAACAAAAGAAAAAATGCTAAAATAAGAATACAAAAATGATAAAAGTAAGCAAAGTGATGAAACAAAAGAAAAAATCCTAAAATAAGAATCCAAAAATGATAAAAGTAGCAAAGTGAAGAAACAAAAGAAAAAATGCTAAAATAAGAATACAAAAATGATAAAAGTAGCAAAGTGAAGAAATAAAAGAAAAAATGCTAAAATAAGAAACCAAAAATGATAAAAGTAGCAAAGTGAAGAAATAAAAGAAAAATGCTAAAATAAGAATCCAAAAATGATAAAAGTAGCAAAGTGAAGAAATAAAAGAAAAAATCCTAAAATAAGAATCCTAAAATGATAAAAGTAAGCAAAGTGAAGAAACAAAAGAAAAAATCCTAAAATAAGAATCCAAAAATGATAAAAGTAGCAAAGTGATGAAACAAAAGAAAAAACCCTAAAATAAGAAAGCAAAAATGATAAAAGTAGCAAAGTGAAGAAATAAAATAAAAATGCTAAAATAAGAATCCAAAAATGATAAAAGTAGCAAAGTGAAGAAATAAAAGAAAAAATCCTAAAATAAGAATCCTAAAATGATAAAAGTAGCAAAGTGAAGAAATAAAAGAAAAATGATAAAAGTAGCAAAGCGAAGAAATAAAAGAAAAAATGCTAAAATAAGAATCCAAAAGTGATAAAAGTAGCAAAGCGAAAAAATAAAAGAAAAAATGCTAAAATAGGAATATATAAATGATAAAAGTAGCAAAGTGAAGAAATAAAAGAAAAAAATCCTAAAATAAGAAACCAAAAATGATAAAAGTAGCCAAGTGAAGAAATAAAAGAAAAAATGCTAAAATAATAATCCATGAATGATAAAAGTAGCAAAGTGAAGAAATAAAAGAAAAAATGCTAAAATAAGAATATACAAATGATAAAAGTAGCAAAGCGAAGAAATAAAAGAAAAAATCCTAAAATAAGAAACTAAAAATGATAAAAGTAGCCAAGTGAAGAAATAAAAGAAAAAAATCCTAAAATAAGAAACCAAAAATGATAAAAGTAGCCAAGTGAAGAAATAAAAGAAAAAATGCTAAAATAATAATCCATGAATGATAAAAGTAGCAAAGTGAAGAAATAAAAGAAAAAATGCTAAAATAAGAATATACAAATGATAAAAGTAGCAAAGCGAAGAAATAAAAGAAAAAATCCTAAAATAAGAAACTAAAAATGATAAAAGTAGCCAATTGAAGAAATAAAAGAAAAAAATCCTAAAATAAAAAACAAAAATGACAAAAGTAGCAAGGTGAAGTAAAAGAAAAAATGCTAAAAAAAGAATCCAAGAATGATAAAAGTAGCAAAGTGAAAAAATAAAAGAAAAAAATCCTAAAATAAGAAACCAAAAATGATAAAAGTAGCAAAGCGAAGAAATAAAAGAAAAAATCCTAAAATAAGAAACTAAAAATGATAAAAGTAGCAAAGCGAAGAAATATAAGAAAAAATCCTAAAATAAGAAACTAAAAATGATAAAAGTAGCCAAGTGAAGAAATAAAAGAAAAAATGCTAAAATAATAATCCAAAAATGATAAAAGTAGCAAAGCGAAGAAATAAAAGAAAAAATCCTAAAATAAGAAACTAAAAATGATAAAAGTAGCCAAGTGAAGAAATAAAAGAAAAAATGCTAAAATAATAATCCAAAAATGATAAAAGTAGCAAAGCGAAGAAATAAAAGAAAAAATCCTAAAATAAGAAACTAAAAATGATAAAAGTAGCCAAGGTGAAGAAATAAAAGAAAAAATGCTAAAATAATAA